CAGACAAGGTCATCCAGGAGACCGGCGCAGATGGGCCTGCCTTTGATGACGAGACTCCTGTTCCTATCGAGTTTCTGCGATCTCTCAACTCTGGCAGCTTACCACCTGGTGAGCTCACAATGAAGCCTGGCTGTCCACTCATCCTGCTCCGCAACCTTGCTCCTGCTCATGGTCTGTGTAATGGCACACGTATGACACTGCTACGTCTGTCGGAACGTGTTCTCGAGTGTCGCATTATTGGCGGTGACCATGACAGTGAGGTTGTGTTCATCCCTCGGATCTCCCTCACCCCATCCAACACCACCGACTTTGCATTCAAGTTCTCGCGTCGCCAATATCCTGTCCGACTTGCATTTGCACTGACTATCAATAAATCACAAGGTCAATCGGTCAAGTTTGTAGGAATAGATCTGCGTGTACCGGTCTTCTCTCATGGCCAGTTGTATGTCGCATTGTCAAGAGCCACATCGAGCCAGCGGGTGAAGATCTTACTGCCAGAGACAAGTAATGGATTAGAGATAGCAAATGTTGTGTATCCAGAGGTATTGTTAGAATAAGCATTGGCTCTTGCTTTGGACTCTCAATACCCACTTGGCGGCAGTGGCCCGCTTGGCGGTAGTGTGACATATAAAATCACTTGACTTTGGACATTTTCTTCCCTTCCCTCACCGTCTATGTCTCAAGGCGCCTCCTTCACCATCTCTGGCTTAGGCCTTCTCGACAACTTCATGCCCTTTGGCAAGAACTACACAGCAGTGGACATCAGGTTTTGGTTCAATGGCAAGGGAGGACAAGCAATACTTGGTCGTGGGGCTTTTTTTACAACGGGCAAAACAATGACTTTGAGGATGGAATCTACATGCTCCAGATTGCTGTGTGTCTATTCTTTTGCCCAGTCTTGCCATTTGCTGACCACTACTACAGCCTGTTCATATGCATGAGAAGGTTGATCTACAGTGCGGTGAGCTCAGCCCAGAAGACAGAGACGAATACAAATTTCTGGCCGAGGTCACATCGGTAAGTAAATATTTCGACAGCCTTTATAACGCGACTCAATGCTTTGCAGCCAGATTTTCTTGGGGTCACAGACTGTGGTATTGACCCTCGCAGGACTCCTCGCGTTGAGGTCTGTGGCCTGCCGTCAAACCTCAAGAAGGATGACTGGACATTTTCAATCAACGGAGACCAGTACTGCACAGCCTACTACCTCTCGAAGAATCTCAAGTGCATCATTGGGTGTTTGTCTAATATCGAAAGCTGACTTGATGCCCAGGTCTTCTTTTCTGACAGACATTTTCCTCGCTGACCTTCCGCGCTGGAAGAACTCAAAGGACCAGACATGGAATAAGCCATTCCCTCACAACAACAAGTTTGTGCAAGTCTCGGGCACAATCTCAGATGTCACTCTACACTCAGAGGGGAAGATCACCTTCCACCTGGTCATCGACAAGGTTGTGTTCCTCGGAGTGCTGGGTCAGGGTGGTGGAGGTTCAGGGAGCCCGTTTGGTATGGCTGTCAACACTTCAAGTTGCTTCAGTGTCTCACTCTCATAGGTGCTGCATCGTCATCGCAGCGCAAGCGTACATCATCAACATTCAACTTTGACACCCTCCCAAGCGGTGGATTCACTAAGCGCCGCAAGGACGACCACCTGTCATCTTCACCGTCTCCACATCCCCAATAGTCATGTATGTCGTGCTTAAGTACTTGCATTCCTGTATCGTACATCACACGTCTGTTAATCAATTTTCATCTATTGCTCATCCGGTGCGAAGCACGGGTACCGACTAGTTCCTTACAAGCTATCACTTTTCTCAACGTTCATGTTAAAACTATATTGTGTGGAGTCCATAAATATATACAATGCCAGAAAGGGGCATCCTTCCCGAGTCCAAGAATGCAAGATTTGGCCTGAGGCAATGAGCGGTTGGCAGAAAACATGAGAACTCGTCAATCCGAGATCTATTCACCACCTGTCACAGCAATCATCTGACCGCATCTCAGGCTTGTCTTGTGCTCTCACACCGCTCACACACCCAATCCATTGCCACTCGTGGCCACCATGCCTCGCCCATTGAAATACCACACGGAGGAGGAAAGACGGGAGGCAGCCAAGGGATACAGTCGCAAGTATGAGCAGAGCTCCCAGTGCGTCTATTCTTTACCCTCATTTAGCATTACTCATGTTATGATACTAGGGCGCTCACTATCCGGGCTACATACCGTCGAAAGAAATGCGGGAGAAAGCAGATTCCTCTCAGTTTGGACCACACACCACCATTGCCCAGCGCCCTCCTTGATCAAGCATCTTTTTTTTGGCCGCAAGAGCAACCACTCTTTCGTCGGGCATTGGCGGGCAAAGTCAAGGGCTTGTTTCCATTCGATTTGCCTCCTCCTTACTCTCCTTCCGACTTCGATGAGCAGCCCCGTCGCGAATTCAATAATGTCAATGAACTCGAGATCGCCATCCATGGTCTGAAACTAAAGCAGGAGCGTGAGACTGATGAGGAATGGTTAGAGTGGCTGAAAGCCTGGTCGAGGAGGGACGCCATTAAGCAATTGGAGGGAGAACTCGTCAAGGCCAGAGAAGATTGGGAAAGATTGAAAGTGTTGTATGACGCTCTTGAGCCGGAGGACGAGTGGGGCACACAACTCTACCATCGAGCTATGGTAATCCTGCACATGAGATGGCAAGCAAGACGTTGCGCGCGACTGCGGGGCCTTGCTTTCATCAACTAGCGCCAGACCGCATTACCATCATGGCAAAATCATGCTGACTCCACTTGTATTCTTAATCGACGTAATCGAATCCCTTCATCTCTGCTGACGACTTGTCTTCGAACCACCAATGGCCGGGTCACCACCGTCTGCACATCCTGTTGTCGACCAGCTTGCCAAAGGTGAAATTTATCACAACTCGTCAGTTCTTTGCTGCCACAAACAAACTTGCACTCTAAGGCTCATACTTATGACAGCGACTACGTATACAACACAAAACTGGAGACGGCGAAGGAACAGCAAATAGAATTGCCTACGGTAATAACAATACCAATGATGACATTCCACTGACTGACAAGTAGATTCACCTCCTTGTTCTCTATTCGCTTGGCGCTATCGAGCGAATGTCAATACCGATACCGCCAGACCTTGCGACAATTACGGACCTGCTCCCGTCGCTTGAAACACTTTGGAAAACTGGGGATACAAACTGGGACGAGTGGCTCGACGTTAAAGCTGTCTACCAGGCTGAAGGCTGCGCTTGGACCATCTTCGAAGCGGGACGTAGCCCTGCGGAAAGTGAAACGGCGCTGGACGATGACTGGCTCGAGGTTCAACACAACGAAGCCGTTGCCTCCCTGGGCTGGCAAGGACCAGTCTCACTGAGTCCCGCCTTCGGTAACATCGTTGTAATCAAGCATGATTCGCCCCATTCGCAGGAGCTTCAAGAGAATGTGATTCAGACCGTGGGTCTGTGCCACCCCCTCGACTTAGAAGAATCCGACGTCGAAGAAGCTAAAAGGCTGGTCCAGCGGTCATTTCATCTGTTCTCATTGTTATTGTTCCCCTCTCACTCAAACTTTCAGTTATTATTTTGGCGCGCCACCCTCGGACTCGATTTCATCGGTCGAAGCGTCCTAGGCATTCTCGAATTCATGTCTTGTGGCGACTGTGGAGCTCACGTCGGCCTTGTCGGAGTGGAACTAATGCGCTGGCGACAGTGGAGCTGACGCGTTGCCTTCGTCTTCTCGGCTTGCCAGTGTCGGGGGTAGCTATTTGTTGTTGTACATAATCAAGCTGTGGGGCTAATGTCGGCCTTGTCCGGCTCATTCGTCGCAAGCTAACACGTTCTGATTGTCTTCTCGAGTCGGCCTTATCGGAGTGGAGCGAATGCGCGGCTACTCTTCGTAGCCATTCGTCAGGACAGAGCTAATACACATTTTTGGACTACAGACAGTAAGCGACTACAAACAACGCGATACGACAACGACACAACAGAGCAAAAGCAACGACAAAACTAAGCAAGCTAACACAGCGTGATTGTCCAAGAGATCGTAAAGCAAGACAGCACAAACAGCAAAGACAACAGTTCAATCTCCCCCCATCTGGACCGGTTGATTCTGACAATGTCTGTCAAAACTGTTAGAATGGTGGGGTGTACATAGACGGAGAACACGAACTGGCGCAGGAGAGTCTCGATGACGGGAAGGTCGGTGTCTTCAAAGTCAGCCAGACGAAGGTCCAGCAAACGTGGGCTGGAGACTCCCTGAACGTCGTAAGTTTTGTGCTTGATGACGACGACCGAGCCCATGAACGGCGTCTGCCCATCGCACAATTTTTGGATGCCGCAGTTCGGATGACTATCGTGCTGGTGGAGGTATTCGTCGTCCTGTTCTTCCTCTTCGTCGGTTCCAGAAATGACACCCGCCTCTTCTTCAAGCTCCAATTGGATGCGACCAATGTAGTCATCTTCTTCGATCTTCACAGGCTGGCGTGTCTTTTTGCGTGGATGCAAGCAGCTGGTTACGACAGTGAAGGCTTCGTTGACATAGCCTGCTGGTCGAAAGACCTGCCACCCCTCGCGAACACAGCTGTGGCAGTCCAAGGGGGATTTCGTCCACATCTGTCCGATTGCGTTGGAGAGGGTGGAGACGCAGATGTCATCGGGAGTTGGAGGAAGCTCGCTGTAGGCGACGTGTTTGAGCAGTGGCAGCATGACAAGCTTGTGAGAAGATTTCCGAGGATAGAAGCCGAGAATGCGGAAGAAGATGGGCTAATGATGGTTCAGATCCAAGCCTCATGCGAGATGAAAACGGTACCCAGCGGCGATCACTGTTCGGGGCGTGCGTAATGAGGCGCAGGAACTCGTCGACGTGGGTGTAATGACCAGCGGGCATCTTGGTTGGAGGGAAAAGGCAAAGAGTAAATGTCACTAGTCACACTAGTGTTATGCGTCATCAGGGCACGTGTGCCAAGCGCTTATTCTGTTTACTCCCCACCAAATGGCCACCTCCTCGTCGCGAAAACGCCGGGCTGCAATACCCCCGACTTTCGTGCATCACCATATGACACCAATCGCAGACCTCGTTGGAGCCCCGGTTGATGCTCCTCTTGCCACGACAATCCATCGCGTCACCAGCGACAATCGACGTGTCCGCACCGAAACTGTCTTGGTTTCACCATCCTCTCCCGTCAAACGCGCCCGCCTCAGCCATCTAGCGCGTCAGGAGCCTCTGCTTCCTTTGCCTGGGGACGAGCCGGAGAGATATGAGATTGGCTCCGAGTCTGACGATGCTGGGCCTTCAAGTAACCCTGCCGGTGCTCGTCAAAGTCAGCCAGCTGTAAGCATGCTCTCTGCACTTTACCTTGACCCCAGCTCAACTTATTACAGGATAAAGCTATGCAAGACTGGGCCGAAAAGTTTCGAGACAAGTACCTTCAGGCGATGTTATGGAGAAATGGACGTGGCAAGCAGTCTGAACTGTGTGCCTCTTGCGGTAGCGGCTCCCAAAAAGCGATCTATCGTTGCGAAAGCTGCCACGGTGACCGCATGGTTTGCGCCGAGTGCTGTGTTCAAGAGCACGAAACCAACCCAACCCATTTCATCGAGGTGAAAATTCCTCTACAGCGCTCGATCCTTGCTGATTTTCCAATACTAGAAATGGACTGGTGTCTACTTCATGAGAATCAGCTCTCGCGAACTGGGCCTTCGAATCCAATTTGGCCACTTGCTTGGACAGACGTGTCCTCTTCCCCGAACTGGCCGTCCCGACTTCGTCATAATTGCCGACAATGGTATTCACGAGGTTGGGGTCGACTTCTGCGGCTGCCAGAACAGCGACCCCAATTACATCCAACTGTTGAAAGCCGGCTATTATCCTGCAACGACCTCCTCGCCGCGAACGTGCGCGACATTCTCTTGTCTTGACAGATTCCATTATCTGTCTTTGCGTGCAAAAACGACAGCCTACGACTATTACTCGACATTGGAATCGCTGACCGATGGCTTGGGGATCAAGCCCCCGGACCGTTATTCCATCTTCTTGAGAATTTCCCGCCAGTATCGACATCTGAAGCTACTCAAGCGCATGGGACGTGGCCACGATGCATATGGGGTGATGGGAACTGGGCCGGGTGAGCTCGCGCTCAAATGTCCAGCTTGTCCGCGGCCAGGGGTAAACCTACCCGAAGGATGGGAAGATGCTCGTCCAGAAGACCAGTGAGTTTGTTAGACTTCTTCCGGCAATGATAATTTCCAAACTGATCTTCGTTCAGATGCTTGTACATCATGTTCATTGCCATGGATGCCTGCTTCCGTCTCAAACGGGCGGGCTATTTCAAACGAGCTTCGAGACCCTGGTCTTGGAACGGGTTGGGCGTACATGCTCGAATGGCACCCCTATCGCGAATATCTGTTGACGGTGACGGACCAGCAGGAGGTAACGAGTTTTGTTGCCAACGAAATATATTGACTGATTGCTTTAGATGAGCACTTGCAGCGGTCTGGCGGCTCTAGACCATGCAAATTCCAAGTTCTCCCGAGGCTATAGTGTTACTGGTGTTGGTATGGGGGTTTGCGCAAGGCACGAGTTCGTGCTTCCTAACGGTGTAGGTGATTTGCAAGCGGGCGAGCGGTAGGTCGTCTTACTAGAAAGCGAGTCGTGTTCTAATACTTTGTCAGCTATAGCAACATGGACTACATCTTCGCTTCCTTCATGCGCCATCTAGACTCCAGACTTCGCAAGTTAATCTCCCTACGACATCGTCTGTCAGTGGATGAAATATCTCATTGAACGCTTGGCTAAATTGCCTGCGATGGTGCGACTGTCCCTTGCTCTCGCGATGGTCCGCTTTGCGATTCCGAAAATGCACATCAAAGGTCACTTGGTCTTGTGCCAAATCTTTTTTTCTCTGCTCTTAATTCTGGGTTCGGGTATGACGGACGGCGAGGGTATTGAGCGCCCATGGAGCATGATCGGTGGGCTTGCAGCAAGCACACGCGTCTGTGGACCTGGCGCTCGATGGGATCAACTCGACGACCATTGGTCGTTTTGGAATTGGATGAAGACCCTTGGACTGGGTGAGTATCATCTGATAATTTGCGTTCTCTTGCTCATTTCATCTGCTAGTGCTGTTATTACGGCGTCGAATGGATAGGGCAGCGGAAGAGTGCGCGAAGCAAGAGCAAGACTTCGAGACATTGACTTTGGGCCACGCGGATCGTGTCTTGGTCTGGAAGCAACAGGTCGAAGAATTTGAGGCTGATAACTCCATGCCCAATCCCTATGAGGCGAAGTCGGAGGGTATGTTGTTTGATTTTACGTAGTCGACTAATGCTCATCTTGATCAGGGTTGTCGGAGAACGCCGTACGCAAGATGTTTGAGGAGGAGGAGGCAGAATTGGAGAAAGCGGGAGCAGTTCCCATTCATGATGTTTCCCCAACCGAGTTCATTGCAGCGTTGCTGGACGCTGAAGCTGACCAGTACGTGTTCTTTTGTCTTGCGTCCGTTTCACATCTGATGGTTTCTTAGGCGGCGTATCCGTGGATTGGTGGATTTGAAGAAGACCAGAGGAACATCAGGGGGAGTCAGTCTTCGGCGACAGCGTCGAAAGCTCAATCGGGCAATCAAGCGCTTGCGAACGCTCCAATTAACCTACACTCCCGCTGCTCTCCGGGCATTGGATGCTCTGAAATTGTCGCAAGAGACACTGGCCGAACGCGTACCTCTCTTCTTGCCTTCCGCAATCCCGCGGTTGGATCGCGGCCATGGTGGTTGTCGCGAGGGTTTGGTGGAGATCGAGCGCGCCTTACGAGATGCTCAATGTCGTTCTGCTTTGACCAGTCTGCAACTGCAACTGCACGTCAAGTCTCGACTGCTTACCTACAAACGGCAGCACTCGCGTGCCCAGGCAATGAACACTCGTTCGCGGACACTTGTCGATCAGAACGAGCGCAAAATCCTGCTCCATTCCGAGAAATATCAAAATGCGTGGCGTGCTCTGGTCGCGATTGAAGGGGGCGAAGACAAGGTGTCGTGGCGGAAGTTGGAGAAAGGGGATATTAGGTGCATGGAGGACTCTCAGGAGGTTCAGCGCGATGTCCAAAGGCGCGAAAAGGCGGACCGTGCCCAGAAAGCACGAGATGCTGAATTACAACAAGCGGGCCTCGCAAAGTTACCCACCAGCACTTCGGCGATGGACGATGAAGAGATGGAGGACAACGAGGATGAGCATGAGGTCGAGAGTTTCTCAATCGATCGATCGAATCGCCTTGATATTGCGAGAGAAGCGAATGCTGTCTTCAAGCATGGGGAGAGCCGTCGGCAGGTATCCTGGATTTGGAGCAATGTGTCAAACACGTCTGAGGCTGTTGAAGAAGGTACTGAAACAACTGTCTCCCACCCGTAATGTCTGCTTATTCCGCTTGTTGCAGCGCTTCGCATCGAATGGGCCAAGTCTTATGCTCGCTTGCGCAGATGGAAGGAGGAAGTGCGGATCCTGGGAGTGGAGGCAAGCCGAATACCCCTGTCGTTCGCTGCAGAAGAGAGGGTCTGGTTGAAGAGAGCCTTCGATGTGGATGTCAGCGGGCTAGGGGCAGAGCACGCAGAAGGTGCTATCGCGTACGCCGCAAAGCATGCCGACATGTACCGCAACCTGGCCCGACGAGCAGAATCGACCTTGACAAGTCCCAAATTGACTCGAGGTCAGAAGGGGGAACGGGATGTCTTCCAGGTTTATGCTGTGGCTGGCGATGAAGATCTCGCTGATGGGTTGGTTGATAGCGACGATGAAGACGAGCATGGGAATGCGAGCGACGACGAGGAGGAAGAGGAATAACTTCCTTTTCGGACATATCTTTACTTTTTGGACTATTTTTGCACTTGTACTTTGATATTTGCTAACTTGTCCTTATCTTGGACTTAATAAGACTTAATTAGCTTAATTAGCTTGTCTTGATCAAGTTTTGATGGTTTGCCGTTGTGCCGATCACTGGTTATGCTGGTCCGATGGCCTTGCCAGCTGATTAACTGATAGCCCATATGTTGTGCATTGCCCTTGTGGGCTATAACCCATATATTGTGCATTGCCCCAGCTGCAAGGGGTGAACAAGGCCATGGCCCTCCAAAGCCGCCCCCTCCCGAAACCAATCTTAGTGACTCTGATCCTAACGACGACGCTCTTGACGACCACCGAAAAGACGACCACCCTTCAAGTCCCAGGCCACCCAACTCTACCGCTAGCTCCAGTGACTCCGACAACTCATCTGGGGCTAGGGTTGAGCACGGGTCCGGGTCCGGGTCTCAGAGAGCTGACCCTGGCCCTGACCCTGACTAACCCTGACCCTTCCGGGTACGGGTCTAACCCGGGTCCGGGTTGACCCACGGGTTATAAACATAGAAGCAGAAGATGTATTAGATACAATAATTTCAATATAACATACATTTTGCTACATGATATTGACTCAGAAATAGCATATGTGGTCTATTTATTAAGATTTTAAGTATATTTAATATGGTGTACTCAGATGTCATATGTCACATGAGTGACTTGAGTGACATGTGACTTTTTTTGTCTCTTAAAACCTACAAAAATCATGTTTAGATAGGAATTTGTTAAATCACAACAGCTCTTTAGACCCTCCGGGTTGACCCTGACAGGGTCCGGGTTTGGCCGGGTTCAGAAAGGGGTGTACCCTGACCCTGACCCTGACAGACCCTACCCTGAAACCCCTGCGGGTTGACCCTGACCCGTGCTCTACCCTATCTGGGGCGGATGACGACATTGATTCTGTCCCTCGGCGTCGTCGTGTGGTGCTGCCTAGCGACAGCGAAGGAGAAGAAGATTGGCCGCTGAAAACCAGCCATCCTGCCGGCCCCAGCGTTGTCGGGCCCATCATATCGCCTCGTCGTTGCACGAAGGTTAAGAAGGGGGTCGGATACCGAGCACAACAACGGGCGCAGAAAAGCCGTTCTCGTGAATTGAATAACGAGCTTGTGTCATTTCAACTCAAGGCTCGCCAAAATGAACAAAAGATCATTCGGAAACTGGCCGCAAAGTTCAATACTCGGGTAGGAGCTGTGGAGCGCAAGCTTCAGAGCTCGCAAAACTGGAAGAAGCAGCGGAGAACGTCGAAACGAAGCGCCTTGCTGGGATATTACACCCGAAGCGTCAATGCAGGTTTGTCAACACCCGCTTTTCAAATATATGATACTCATATCTTTCAGAAAGAGCCGCTGCAGGCAAATCGCCCATATCGTACATCACTCTCCAAGCACGGGTCAAAAAACACCCGGAGCTCCTCGACTTTGGTCCTGAAAAGACTGAAGAAATTGTTGCAGAATATGAGGCTCGTAAAAAGCTCAAAGCAACTGGAACCCGCGCGACTGCGCTTGGAGAGGCGAAGGATGTAGATGGGACGGCCAAGGTTATGGGCAAGCTCGTAAGTTTTTATCTTATGCCTTCCTTCTCTCGACAACGGATTGAACGACTGCAGATGACCAATCTCAGAAAACGGACGCATGCTGTTTCGTTTGGCCTGGTGGCGCCTACTGATCGCAAGAATACCCTGACAATACCGGCAATAGTCGATGCTGGCGGCGCACGCTACATGTATGACCGACATGGAATGACAGAGGCCGAAGTTGCGAAGGATTTTGCAGACTGGGCAATGAGCTTAGGGAAAGGTTTGTGGCTCGCCGAGTCGTTCATTCTGACTTATAGCTCATTGCTTCCCAGGGGTTGACCGTATGTCAACGACACAATTGCGTCAATACTGCACGAAGTTCATCAAGAATGGCCTTGGTTTGTGTTTCCACTGGTGGTTTTTCATTCAACTGATTCAGGCCACACAGCTCACACTGCCGGCAAAGAAACCCGCATGAATTACGACAACTATCCCAACGCTATCATCCTCAACCTTCGCGTCCATCTCGTTGGCTGGCCGGAGGGGTGCCCCTGGATGTCACCATCAGCTATAAGCACAATCAGCCAACTCCGCTGTCTAGCACGAGCAATCAACCAAAAGGAATGCTATTGGAAGGAGGTCGAGTCAGACGAGGAGCAGGAGCAAATTGAGAAGGAATACGCAGACCTAGTCGAGGCTGGAAAGCGCCCTACTCCTACTGGGCAATCCCGGGCCACTCGTTCTGACAAAGGCAGAAAGCGAGGAAAGCAGAGGAAATCGGCAGCAGTCGAGGAGCATGATTCGCGGGATGAGACGAGCCCAGACGAGCGCGAAAGTGAGGATGAGGGTAGAGATCGGGGTCGGGGTCCAGGTCGTCATAAATCGTCGCGGCCTACTGCCACTGCAAAGGCGAATGCTGCCGCAAAGGCAAAGAAAACAAAGGCAAAGAAAGCATCAAACGCTACCTCACCTATTCCTCTTCGACGCTCCTCTCGCCAGGCCGAATCCTCCAGGCTGAAACGCAAACGCCGCGAGAGGACAATGCCGAAAATAATGAGCCGCGCCCGAAAGAAGCACAAGTCAAACAAAGCATATCGAAACCTTCTCAAGCAGATGAACAAGTCAAAGGGAGGAACTGGGCTCCCGAAAACGACAACCTCTGCAGCGATGACAGTGGCAGCAACGGCAGGTGCATCATTGACATCAGCGGAGAAGAAAAATGTTGTCAAAGGGAAGAAGGGAGGTCCGCCTGGTCATCGGGCGTAAATTCAAAGTCGGTATATGTTTGCTTTCCTCCATGTTTTCCTCCATTGCTTTGTCCTCCACGTTTTCCGCTGTTTACATCTATCTCAATTTCTATGGACCATGATATCGCTACCACAGTTACTCACAGACAATCCACTTTAATTGCACATACTGATAGTCTATAATAACCCTCATGTCGGGCAATTCATTTTAGATGTACATACTGATAGTCTATAATCATTCTCTACTAGTACTATCTATACTAGACAGTAAATAGTTCCTCTTACAACACCAAGTACATTATAGTATCAAAAAAAAAATCTATCACTGTTCATAATACAGGATTTTTATTCATAGCATGAAGTGAATGATAAGGTGTACTTGTATGGTAGAAACCTGTGCAACACTGAAAATTGTCAAAATTATTCATACCTTTAACCAGTAATTATTCATTAATATGGTGGTGCTTGATAACACTGTGGCTTATCGGGTCCAACCCGCCGCGGTGGACCCGATAACTGACGGTGAGTACTGGGCCACACAGGTGCCCTGACATTGGGGTTTCAGCAGGGTGTTACAAGGGTCAGCTTCAGTTATTCAAGTCTTAGTCTGACAGTTCAGTTTTGATGGGTTCCAAAACTTCAGTTTCAGCACCCAGCTAACTTAGATGTATATGGCTCAGTTCCGAGGTTGAGCAGGGCAAAATCATCTCTGTTTCAGAAGAATAAATAATGAAAATTGATCTGATACGAAATGGCCAAACCTGGCCCTCAGTTCAGCCAGGTTTAGTTCGGAAACGGCCTTTGCCAAACCTGAACGCCGAATACATGTTCAGTCCGGTCCGGTTCAGGTTCAAACCAAAATCCCAAACTGGACCTGGCCATCACTACAAACTGCAGGTTATGCACGACAGCAGGTGGATAACACCCACCCCGTGCCTTGATGCTGAGGAGGAGGAGGCAGGTGAGGTGCACGCAGGCGGAAGGGAGAACCCGACCAAACCTATGAGGTCAGTTATCACAAAAATTATTTGTTCATGGTTTGTGGTTTATGGTTTGGGGTTGTGTCTATTTTTATAAGCTTAAGGTGGGGCCACCATACATATAACATCGGGAAGGATATATTCTGCATTTTTATGTATTTTTTTGGCACACCTGCGGCACGCTGAATATTGTCTGCTTGTTGTGCAAGGAAATTACCCAATCACTATTTACCAGGTAGGATACTGCCAGGTGCGCAGGTCATGTGCTGATTCAGATAGCTCTGACCCCATCCGGTTTTTTTTGTGGCCGGCCGCAGGATCAAACACGACCAAGCATGATGTGACATGCTGTCAAGCCTCGTGACAACCTGCGACAAGTTGTGTTGCACTACACTGTAGTCTTCCTGAGTATATAGATTCATGAGCACTTGACAGGACTGAAGGTATATTGAGAGATCCAGCACCTTTTAAACTCTCCCCCCATTTTAAATTCTTGTCAAAACCAAGATCTCACTTGGATCTCACACCGCTGTTGTCAAATTGAATATGAATGAGGACATGAATCTCTTAGAAATTGTCAGGAACATTCAAGTTGGTGATAAGCTTTGGCTGGACGCCTCTGACATCAGAACGACTCAGCCCTCCGAGAAGTTCTCCCACAAACGCCTCGGACTGTTCAAGGTGCTCGCAGAGGTTAGCAAAGGTGCCTACAAGCTCAATCCCCCCCCGCGTTACTCCAAGCTCCACCCCGTCTTCCCCGGTGTTAAGCTTGAGCCCCGCTCAGGAAGACCCCTTCAATGGATGACCCGGCTACGACGAACCGCCCCCCGAACTAGAAGACGGAGTCCCCGAATGGGAAGTCGAAGAAATCTTGGATGCCAGGATAAGGTATAAGCGTCTTAACTATTTTGTCAGGTGGAAAGGCTACGATGCTTCACATGACTCGTGGGTTCGGTTCGACCGTGTCTTTGCGCCAGACAAGATTGCGGACTTCTATCGGAGATAACCGGGTAAACCACGGCACATTGCCTCAGCGACCTTCGACTCCTTGCCCTTTCGAACTATGCGTCGGGACGCCGCATTCAAAGGGGGGGGTGATGTCAGGGGAACCCCGCTTCGGCCTCCTTCGGACCCTCCAAACGCATCCGAGGCGCATCCGACTGGCACCCCCTCGGACGCTCCGACCCACCCCGACCATCGTCCACGGCCTCCTTCGCCCGCACAATCACCGATCCGTCAAGACCCTCCCAACGATCACCTTGGGACAGAGCCTGCGACGCCGCCCAGGCCTTCTGCGCTCTACGTCGGCAGTTACGGACGACCAGTATATAGTTGGCACCCTAGCAGGCGGACCCTTAGAGTTTCTTCTCTTTGGATCCTCCCCTGCTAGGTCGGTCCCTCCGTGTATTTCCTGTAGTCTTATTCACGCTTTGGATCCTCCCCTGCTAGGCTTTTCGTCGGAGTCTCCAGGGTTGCCCTTACAGAAATTTTATACCATGGGACAGGTATGCTATCTAAACTATTCCTTTACTTTTCAGGCCAGGCTATGAAGAAATAAAGCTGACATGCACCAGAGGAGATTTCACTCCTTCCCAAATGGGAAGGTGTGACAGGTAGGAACTAGCCAAGATTGGATTGTTATCGCGGGTGAGTGTGTAAGGGGAGCATGTGATGTGACAGCTGTGACTGATCACGTGACTGGTCCGTGCGCAGATAGCCCTGTACTTAAGTAGTTGGCCGTGGGGCTGTTCCCCCGGCTTTGGTATCAACTAGGCACCTGGACCCTCATCCCCTGACAGCATACCAAAGCCTCTATATCGACTCTGGCACTCTTCTAGCCCCAGTTAATCCTCTCTATCTCCTATATTCGTCCTCACCCTACTGTGCTTGCCTGCTCTTCTCCAATGACGACTCCTGGCGTCCCTGTTGACCTGTATTCGTACTGCCTGCTCCTGCAGAGCGAAATTACTCGCCTCACCGACCGTCTAGACCGCCTTGAGTATGGTACGCCTGCTCCACCCCCTCCTCCCCCTTCCCCTGGTCCTACGTTCCACGGTGTCTGGGATGGCAGTCGCTGGGTTCTTCCAACAGTCCCGGCCCCTACCCCTGCCGTCATTGCTGCTGCCCACACTTCTATACCACTTGCCGAAACCTTCCCTCCTACTGCGCCTGATACTGTCACGCGCTTCTCTTGTACGCTTGTGGTGCCTGACTCGGCTGTCGGGCATATCGTGGGTCGTGGCAGCAAGGGTCTCCACCAAGCTCATGACACTTCCGGTGCTCAGTTGCGCGCATACTCTGATCGTGCTGCGCCTGGCGAGCGCCGGGTCTCTATCCGGAGAACCGACCAGCAAATCGGTGAAGCGCTTATTGCGCTTTGGGAAACGGTTCATGCGCAAGCGTGTCCGTGCGAAGAAGCAACGTCAGCCACCGTCTGCTGAGGGACCTGCGCACCGCTCGTCCACCGTGATCCACGCCCAGTCCCAGGTGCCCCGGCTGTGCCTGTACCACATGCCACGAAGATGGATGTCGACCGTGCCCCTCCGCACCGCTCGTCCACCGTGATCCATGCCCAGTCCTAGGTGCCCCGCTAGTGCTGCTGGCTTTGGCAGAACATTTTGCCATTTAACCATCTGCCAGGGTGGCAAAACCTGGCATATTACAGGGTGTGAATATTCACGGTGGCAAATGAGTGCTTTGTTCTTGGTATATTTAATTATAATTGTACACCTAAACAGGTATTTAGATTAACTTTTTTCCAACAAAGCACACAAAGCACCTGTGCCAAGTGCCCCCCGCAATAGCAATATAAATTAGTCTATTAAAATTCTGTTTTTCCTGTCTACTTTCCCCACAATCACCGCTATGGCTGGAGGGCGACCACTTGACCCTTTCTATGTGGCACACTTTGTCTTTATCCGCCTTATTGAAAACAAGACCAATCGCAAAATCTATCGATGTAACTACTGTTCTGCGGAGCTTGAGCATCGCGAAAATCGTCTGGCAAATCACATTGCTACCTTCAAAAAATGCCCAGATGCACCGGCTGTCGCACGCCACGGCCGCACATGTTTTGATGAAGAAGAAGAAGGTTGCAGAAGAGGCATCAGATCCAGATGCAGCGGTTTTGGAATCCCTAACCACTGTTGTCCGGGGTGAGCCACCTGCCAAAAAACGCAAACCAAACCCTCAGGCTAATCTGGATTCATTCATCGACTCCTAGTACACAATCCGACATCGCTAATCGACATCTCCTTCGCTACATGGTCCATTCGAACACGGCCTTCCTCCAAGCCGACAGCATATTTCTTGGCGATTTCACTAACGCCCTTCGACCCTCCTTCCAAATCGCATCCCAGAACGTCATGTCGAGGTTGTTCCTCGACGCTGAGCACAGCCATGTCCATTTGGAGATGTTTGACAGGCTGCAAAAGATGGAGCGCAGCGGAACCTTGATTATTGATGGTTGGGAGGATGAGCTTCGTCGATCGATTTACGGGACAGCCATTGGTGTTGTTGGGGAGCCCACAATTGTTCTGGGACTGCAGGATATGACGGGGGGAGCGCGGCAATGCGTTCAAGATCATGGATGCTGCAGAGACAGCGCTCGCAGAGATGGGGGTCGTGGATGCGAGCTGTGTGCTGGGTGTTGTGACGGATAATCCATCCGTAATGAAAGCCTTCCGGAGACTCTTCGTTGAGAAGCACACTTGGGTTATTGTGAGTTTTTACATTTTCTACATTGTCAACGACTTACATTGAGTCAGCCGCTTGCCTGCTGGGCGCATGGACTCAATACCCTTGTTGGCGAGATTTGTCGGCACGCTCCCGCGAAGGCAGCCATCATGCGCGCCAATCGCATCGTTACATTCTTCAATAACTCGCACTATTGGGGCGGTCAGCTCAAGAACACAGCGAAAGCAGAAAAAGTTACCCGTGGTCTCAAGAAAAACTGTGAGTCGCGGTGGTATGCCCTGATTCTCTTGGTTATGAGCATCTCCGCCCACCAAACACCGCTAAGCCTTCTCGTTGCACATCCCAATGCGCGAAGGCCTTCAGACGGCTACTCTGCGGTCAACGAGGATGTCATCGACATTATTCAGGACCGTGACTTCTGGCCATGGATTTCACGCGTTATTCGTATTGCGCATCCATTCGTTGATGTGATTGCTGTATGTGAAAGCCGTCGCGCTAATTTGGCGGACTGTATGCTTAATCTCCTTGGAGCAGCACGTCAGCTTTTGACCTTGGACAAGAAAGACGATGATACCATAGAGTTCCGGACCTTCGAAAAGCACGCGCGTGCAGTCGTCAACAAGTGCTTTCGACAAATGGCCACGCCCGTACACCGCTTGGCCCTCTTCCTCCACCCGCTCTGTCGCAAAATGGCTGTTGTGGAAGATACTCCGGGGTACACATTGCGCGACTACAAGAAGACCACGCTGGAGATTGCCGTGAAGTGGGGATGGGAGGATCGGGAGGCAGCGCTTCTTGCAAGCGATATCACGACATATGGTGCATGCAAAGCTCCATGGGAGGGTGGAGATCGAGATGCTGGTGGCTGGTGGGCCAGCCTCTCGATTTCCGTGAAGAAGCATCCGCTCAAAGCCTTTGCTTGTGCCATTCTTTCGCTCACGCCTCACTCGGCAGAGATTGAGCGCTTGTTCTCCGCCTGCAACGGTATCCAGTCCCCCAAACGCAATAGCCTTGCTGTCGAAACGTTTTCCAAACTCGCCAAGGTCCGCAGCAGTCTTGTTGAGGAGGCAAAACGGCGAGCTCCACTCCGAAAGAAGCCCGCGACAGAAACGGCTGCTCCGCCTCCAGCGGCCACTGCATCAGGGTCAGCATTGGCAACCCGTGTCACAACGGATAACTCCACACCTCTGGAGCGAGATGAAGTCCTGACCAGGTGGCAGGCACCGCTCGAGGGACCTGATCCAGAAGAGGACTCGATTTCCGGAGTTGAGGCAGTCTTCAAACATCTGGAGGCCACATTGGCGTTGGAGTCAGTCTCAGTCAGAGGCAGAAGAAGACAGCGCACCTCAGGACAATTCGGACGACAAGCTGCCTGAAACCTTGGTGGCCATCGCGAACAAGAAGCGAAAGACAGCTGCCACGCTGTCACTGATGGATGGCGATATCTACAATTTTGACCTTGTCAAAGCTGCATTAAACAGTGTGGTACCGCAGGAGGATGTTCAGACAATAAATGTCGTGAAGCAGGGTGGTTTATAGCAATTAGATATTGAAATTAATTACCTAATAAAGAAATCACATGATTTTCACGTGATTTTCGCCAGGTGGCAATGAAATGTGGCATAACTGGTTTAACCATGGCAAAATGGCAAAACATCGTAAATATTCATTTGCCATATGCACTACCCGCGCCACTACTGCGGTTCGACCTGCCACTCATCCGAGGGCCTCGGCCGCCGGTGGGCCAGCTGGGCATTTGCGACTGTCTTCCCCCCTCTTCCCGTCTTCCCTACCCCGCCAACCTGCTGCCGCCACTACCCAACCTATGCAGGCCGCGGCACCATCTCTTTCTACCCCCCAGCCTTACCCTACTCCCTTCGCACCCTCGGTGGTTATGGCCACTCCGTCGGCGCTGACCAGTGCGTCACCTACCCCGATTGGCTCTCCTATGCAGATCGACGTAGCTCACGCCCGGCTGCGTAACCGGCAGACCGCCCGACGAGGGGGCGTACCTATGCAGTCATCACGCGTCATAGGCGACAACCTCTATTTCCCTGGCAATCCCGAATACGAGTTCGCAGAACCCTACACTCCGCCTATCCGTCGAGGCGACGGATCTTGAGGAGGGGTTGGTGTAAGGGGAGCATGTGATATGACAGCTGTGACTGATCGCGTGACTGGTCCGTGCACAGATAGCCCTGTACTTAAGTAGTTGGCCGTGGGGCTGTTCCCCCGGCTTTGGTATCAACTAGGCACCTGGACCCTCATCCCCTGACAGGTGAGTTGACTTCCGAAAATCAGCAGCTGGTAGATCAGCAGTTCCATCTTGATTTCTCCTCAACAACTTCGAGAGGGCATGGTTCAGACACGCACCATTCTTTCACCCGCCAAGCGACCAGCATCCGCTGCGGTATGCTCCACCGATCTTGCCCAGCCGCAAGTTTGAACTTTGAACATTAGACCACATCACCATATCAGAGATTATCAGCAGCGGCAAAAAACGATCTTCAATAATTTTGAAACTGCTCCCAAATATTGTGAACAGATTTTGAATATACCAAGGGTTTTCAGATTAAAGTTTTGAGTCTTGCGAAAGGGTGCCGGCCTACGCCGTTGAATCAGGATCGTATTGGTGATGGCACCGGTGCTTACATACACACCACGGCCTTCGTGTCGACTCAAACGAGTCAAACCTCTTGCACCAGCGTCTGCCCGTCTGCCCTGACCAGCTCTCATATCAAGCACATAAAACACAGCCGTATTTCCAGGTCTCATCTCCTAGGCACCCAGACACTGTCCATACTCCAGACCCTGCAGCTGTGTGTGTGCATTTTGCAGTTAGATGTGCCACGGTGGTCGTGCTCTGTTACACAAACTGGTGTTCCAGAACTCCACTACCGGGTGAGATTATCCATAACCCTTGAATGGGCATGCTAAACACAGTACTGACTCCACTGTGGATCAGGTTTGACTGCGCTGTGGACACATTATAGTGGCTCTTTTTACCGGTTATGCGGGGAGGATTCCGGTTTTTACGGATATCAGGAGAGATTAAAAGGTGCGCAGGTCAATACTCTCCAACTCAGATTTGATTCTGCATAGCACGACTTCAACTATGCAAGGCCACAGCAACTCGCCGTTCAACCGCCACCCACTCCTGCCAGGCCTTAAAGAGGTATTCCCTGACTTCACATTTGAGACGACTGGCTTCGGCGACGATGCTGAAGTCGAATTAACTTCAATGGGCCTCAAGTCTCCTCGCTACAAGGGGGGTAACACTCCTGGGTGCGTCTTTTTCCTCGTTCTATTGACAGTGACTCATGAATTGGTCCAGTGGAAACCACTCTCCTCAGCGCTCGGTTGCATCTGCTTCATACACAAACCTTGGGCCAATTAGCCCCAGTCCCATGACCCAGTTCTGCTCTATCTTGGACGACGACACTCAAACTCCGTATCAGCCTATTATTACAAGTACCCCACAAGCACCAACCCAGCCATACCGGTTCGGTAAAATCTACGATATCCAAGGTCTTCCTCTCCCGGCTTTGGACTACACGTCCCAACCTGGTTCCATGTACACTCCCACCACAGACAAGAATGCTCCTCATCCATTCGAACTGGGCTTGCCAACTTCATCTGAACAGCTTCCCTCGACGCCGGAGCCTCTTTGCAAGATGTTGCTGGCAAGGTACCCGTGCCGAACACTACCTGATAGCTGCTGTCAACCCAAACATGGCCATGATTCAAGGCGCTCGTCTTCAGCATGCAAAGGCGGATTCCAGTGCGAAGACAAAAGTCAAGCTCAAGTTCGAGGATTACCATTTTGGGAAGGAGAACACGAAACCAAAGGCCGCAGTGGTAGTTAAGGCTGGTCGGGGTGCTCTCAGAACCGCGATCGATTTCACAAAAGCTCTACGGGTTGTCAATGCCCAAGAACCCTGGTCTGCTGGGCATGGCAAGAAGAAGGAGGCCTGGGAAGAGCGTGCAAGCCTTGTCTCTGTCGCTGTCAATCGCCCAATGACCGCGACTTATCTCAAAGCGAAGATGGAGTCCATTGTTGATTGGAAAAAGGTACGATTCTGAGTTGAATTCAATACCTTGACTCATATGTCTGTGCGATAGAACCCTATGGGCAAAAATAAGGCTCTCGGTGCCATTGTTGGCAGTGGTAACCCAGATGCTATTCCTCTCGGCGCTCTCATGGAGATGATGGAAAATCAACATGATATGGCAAAAGGCAAGACAGATGATGTGAAGGCAAAGATCAGGCAGGTATGGTTTTTGGCATTTGTCTTGTCCAGCTCTGATAGTGACTAGAAAAGCACCGAGGATAAAGCAGGTGGAGAGGAGATCTGCAAGGCTTCGATGCAAGCCCTTGGGCGCAAGCGTGCCATCAGTATCTCGACAGATACCATGTCCCGCGACACCGAGAGTGACACCGAGACAGCAACTGTTATCAGCAAGACGGCCGGCAAATCGATAATCAACCTTGCGGACACAGATGAGGAAGTCGACAGCAAAGAGAAGGAGCCAAAGCCTGCATCCAAGAAGCCCAAATCCAAGTGGCGTCGTGGCATGGAACGCAACTTCGACTGGTTGTTGCCATTTTCAAAGCCGAAAATGCCCGCCGTGCAGCTCATGATAAGCGTGTTGTTGCGTGATGGGAGGCTTTTGTCCGTGATGCTCGGGAGGGGTGCGAGATGACGAAACAGCTGTTGGTTGGGAACGAGGAGAAGGCAGGAACTCCCAAGGACAATAACGAGTTGCCAATTTATACAATCAATACAGACTTGTATTCATGTACTACATTTATTAGTCATGCTCTACAGATGGTGGCTCGCAAGCGAAGTACTGAGATGTCTGGTTTGGACTAAGGCAGTTTAATGCATTAGTCAATAACACACCAACACAATAGTACCGTCCCACAGGCGAAGAAAAGACCCGTTGCTTCCACCAGCCATTGAGAAAGGGCCATTTTGTGACCACTATGCCAAACCCATGTTCAACCTCGATACGCACGGCTGCCATTGCCTCGTTACATGCCGCTTCTTCTCGGGTATGCTCCCCTGGCCCCGAAAATGGACTTATCATCAGCGGGCTTAGACCATAGGCTGGGTCTCCAAAAATCTGGAAGTAGCGTGAAGCAGGCGTTGGTGCCTGGCCTTAGCACATGTTGTTCGCACTTTTCAAGCAATTGAGATACTGCGAGCAGGGCATTGTCATTGTGTCGGCCCTCGATCGGCCCATACAGATGTCCAATAAGGCCGTTCGGAAGCATGATAGCTTGATATTTGAGTGCATAGACCTTCTCATAGCCGTTGTAGACAGTTCGTTGTAGATGATGCGGACGACAAGTAGGCCGGATGGTACAGTCAATAAAGCCCCATACCGTGTTCAATGGGGCACCTGCATCAAAGATAGCAGTTGCATACTCCTCCATCCGAGCGGGCGCGAGAACTCCGTCGACATCGAAATCGAGTAAATGTGCCCATCGGTTGTCCAAGTATAAGCAAAGCTCGTTGATCACTTCGCTTATTGCCGACTGGGCTTGCCCATACTGCATTGAGAGCATATATTGGTCTCCAGCGGTTCGGAAGTGTGCCAGGAGCAAGCAAAGAGCTTCGACATCAGAAAACACGGAGCGATGTTTTGTCTTGAAAGGTTGAGGGATGTCAAGCACGTTAACTAACAGCTGTATCTCTTCTGCATAGAAACTATACCGAAAATCAATCTGTGCTTGCCAACCAGATTTTATCAAGCACACACCAAAATTGGTATAAACAGTCTTGAGGTTTTAGCCGCTTTAGCCATGGTAAGCTGATATGAGCTCCTTGTAAGGGCAACCCTGGAGACTCCGACGAAAGCCTAGCAGGGGAGGATCCAAAGCGTGAATAAGACTACAGGAAATACACGGAGGGACCGACCTAGCAGGGGAGGATCCAAAGAGAAGAAACTCTAAGGGTCCGCCTGCTAGGGTGCCAACTATATACTGGTCGTCCGTAACTGCCGACGTAGAGCGCAGAAGGCCTGGGCGGCGTCGCAGGCTCTGTCCCAAGGTGATCGTTGGGAGGGTCTTGACGGATCGGTGATTGTGCGGGCGAAGGAGGCCGTGGATGATGGTCGGGGTGGGTCGGAGCGTCCGAGGGGGCGCCGGTCGGATGCGCCTCGGATGCGTTCGGAGGGTCCGAAGGAGGCCAGGGGGGTTCCCCTGACATCACCCCCCCTTTGAATGCGGCGTCCCGACGCATAGTTCGGAAGGGCAAGGAGTCGAAGGTCGCTGAGGCGATGTGCCGTGGTTTACCTGGGTACCTCCGATAGAAGTCCGCAACTTTGTTCTGGCGAAGACACGGTCGAACCGAACCCACGAGTCGTGCGAAGCATCGTAGCCTTTCCACCTGACGAAGTAGTTAAGACGCTTATACCTTATCCTGGCATCCAAGATTTCCTCGACTTCCCATTCGGGGACTCCATCCTCTAGTTCGGGGGGCGGTTCGTCGTAGCCGGGTCGTCCATTGAAGGGGTCGTCCTGAGCGAGCTCGAGTTTAACAACGGGGAAGACGGGGTGGAGCTTGGAGTAACGCGGGGGGAGGTCGAGCTTGTAGGCACCTTTGCTAACCTCTGCGAGCACCTTGAACGGTCCGAGGCGCTTGTGGGAGAACTTCTCGGAGGGCCGAGTTGTTCTGATGTCAGAGGCATCTAACCAAACCTTATTACCAACTTGAATATTCGGAGCGTCCGATCGTCTCCGATCGTAGTACCGTTTATACTCGTCTTTGGCTTTTGACGAGCGCGGCCTTCGCTCGGAGACGCCGTTCGCTATCCGATCAGCGAAACTCGTTCACCGACTCCAACTCTGAGCGGGTGCCCGGCTCGAAACCCATTCGGGGGAGCCGGCCAGTGTCCGTCATAAAGGGTACCTGTTGAGTGGAGGAGTGAACGTGGTTGTTATAGGCGAACTCAGTGGCAGGGATAAGCTCGTCCCAGTCGTCTTGTTGGTAGTTGGTGAAGATTCGGATGTACTGCTCGAGCTCCTGGTTAACGCGTTCGGTTTGTCCATCGGTCTGCGGGTGGTAAGCCGTAGAGGTAGCCGGCTTGACGCCAATTAAGCGCCAGAGTTCGCGTAAAGTCAGCGATGAACTGCGAACCGCGGTCCGAAATGTACTTCTCGGGGTTCCGTGGTGTCTCCAGACGTTCCGATAGTACAAGCGGGCAGCTCCGACCGCGTCTATTGTCGTATGGCATTCGGTGAAGTGAGCACGTTTCCCGAGGGCGTCAACCACTACCATAACCGCGTCATACCCATGGGCCTCGGGGAGCTCGACGATGAAGTCCACAGTGACGGTGTGCCAGCGCTCGGGGGGGACTTCGGTCGGATGTAGCTCCCCGTGCGGAAGCCTTCGGAGGGCCTTCGTACGACAGCATAAGTCGCAGGTCGCGACGTAGCGTCCGATATGGCGGGACATCTGTGGCCACCAGTAGTTGCGCGAAACCAACTCCAGGGTCTTGAACCGCCCGGCATGTCCGGCGACACGTGTGTCGTGGCAGAGCTCTATAATGCGCCTCCTCAGGTCTTTGTCTTTGGGGACTACGACCTTGCCGCGGAAGTACAGGAGGTCGCCTGAGACGGCCCACTCGTCCGAACGCGATGAGCGGGGGCCCCGAGCTTGACCTCGGACCTTCAAGAGTTGCCGAGCCGCCAAGTGCGACGGGTTCCTCTAGGTCAGGCTCACCGGATAGCGCTTCCTTGATGTCGCGGACAAGTTCGGAGCCAGGCCCAGAGACAGTGACGGCCTCAAGCGCGCGAACGTGGAACAGTTCGGGGCGTAAGAGGGTGACATCCGAGTTGTCGCCGGAGATACCGTGGTCAGGTCGGCGGGAGAGAGCATCGGGCGGCCCATCTGGCGACCTGGGACGTGGTGCAGCGTAAAGTCAAACCTGGAAAGGTACAACGACCATCGGGCTTGCCGACGATTAAGGTGTTGCGCCTTTCGGAAGTATTCCAAGTTCTTATGGTCAGTCCAGATCTCAACCGGATGCGCGGCGCCCTCGAGGAAATGCCGATACTCCTCGAGTGCGCGGATGATCGCGAGCATCTCCTTGTCGTGAATCTCGTAGTTGCGCTGGACATCATTTAAGCTTTTGGAATAGAACGCTATAGGGTGCCACTTCCCGTCCGGGGCGGATTGTTGTGAAAGAACCGCCCCTGTCGCATAATCTGAGCTGTCTGCTTCAAGTCGCAAAGGCCGAGAGTCGTCCGGGATCGCTAAGACAGGTTCTGATACGACCGCGTCCTTGATGGCTTGAAAGGCGGCGGCCAGGCCTCTCCCAGGTCCATTTCTGGTCTTTCTTGGTGAGCGCAAAGAGAGGTTGCGCTAGGGCCGAGAAATCCCGAATGAACCTGCGGTAGAAATTAGCAAACCCCAGGAACTGCTGAACGTCCTTCTTGTTTTCGGGCGGAGGCCATGCGGAGACTCCGGCGACCTTAACGGGGTCCATTTCGACATGGTTGTGCGAGATAATGACCCCCAAGTACTCGATTGACGATTTCTCGAAGTCGCACTTTTCCTTGCGAAGGTACAACTTGTGCATTCGGAGCCGCCGAAGGACCTCCCGGACGATCTCACGGTGCTTGCGGAGGTCCGAATGTGCGATAAGGATGTCGTCGAGGTAGATCATAACGTCGCCTGAAAGAATGAGATCCTGGAAAATGTCATTCATCATCGTTTGGAACGTCGGCGGGGAGTTTGTCAGGCCGAAATACATCACCAAAGGTTCGAACAACCCTCGGTTAGTCCGAAAGGCCGCCTTCCACTCGTCTCCTTCTTTAATCCGGACGTTATTAAAACCCCAGCGAACGCCGAGTTTGGTGAAGTAACGAGCGCCCTTGAGCCTGTTGATAAGGTCGTTAATCAACGGAAGGGGGTACCGGTTCTTAATCGTCATTGCGTTGAGGGCGCGGTAGTCCTGGACAAACCGAAGCCCTCCGTCCTTTTTCTTAACGAAGAAGACGGGGGAGGCCATCGGAGATTTCGAAGGGCGAATACGGCCTGTGGCAAGTCCTTCCTCGATGAACTCGTCAAGTTCGCTGTTCGGGGGAGAGATCGGATACACCTTGCAGTTAGCGGGCTTGGCGTCGGGGACGAGTTCGATAGCGTGGTCCCAAGCCCTTCGTTCTGGTAACGTGTCAAAGGACTCCTTGTCGAAGACGTCTTGGAACTCCTTGGCCCAGTCCGGGATCTCCGAAGGCGGAGGGGCCGAGTTACGGGCGAAGGCCTCTGCGAGGCGTTGGGACACTGTACTGCCAGCGCGGATCTCCTCAACTGGGCGAAAGGAGGTGTAGAAGATGCGGTCGCCGTCTTCAAGATGCTCGTCGCCGTCGAGATCTGGTGAGGGCTCCGGAGGGTCCGAAGCAGCTCCGAGCTCGTCGTCAGCATCATCTGGGCCAGCGATATCGATAGCGCAAACAGTGGGGAAGGCGCCCGCAAGTAGTCGTGATTTAAGGAGTCGGAGCCGCCGAACCTCGGCGCGTTCGGTCCGCTCTTCGTCACGGCAGGTAGAGCAGCTGCGGGGGCAACGACTCATTTTCACCTCCTTTGTTTCCCAGTTGATCTCGGGGTTATGCTTTTTGAGCCAGGAGTATCCGAGTATCAGGTCCTGTTTCCCAAGGTGGGTTACAGCCAGCTGAACGCGTTCGGAGTGTCCGTTGTACCGAGAGAACGAGGTCCGCGATTTGGCGAATAGACCCAGCATCATTGGGGGTGCCGTCGACGTTGTAGACCGGGATGGGTACTGAGAGATTTCGGACTGGCACATTATTCCGGTTGACATATTCTGTGTCGATAAAGTCCAAGTAGCTCCGCAGTCGACCAGGCCCGAGAGGGAGAGCTTGAGCGCGTTCGCAGTGGACTCAAGTTCAAGGGGGAGGTGCAGCGAGTTAACGCCAGGAGCGGCAGAGATGGTATAACTGCCAGGTAGCTTTTTCTCCCAGGCAAGTCGGCGAATCCGAACGGGGGCTTCGGAGGGGGCAAAGGGTGCGTCTTTCGTTTCGGGCTCGTTGTAGGGCAAGGGAGTTGATTCATCATACAAACAAGTGAAACGATTTATGGACGCGAACGAGGGCACACCAGTCACTCGTCGCGGGGGACAAAAACCCTCCGCCGGAGCCTCCGAATGCGCCTCCGCTAAGGCCGCAGTATCGGACAACCGCGCAAGCAGCTCTCCCAGCATCTCATCGCCAAGTTGCTGGATTACCTCGTCGAGGATGTCCACATGGCGGACGTCGGCGGGGAGCGGACAGTCCCGAGCCAAATGGTTGGGGTCGCCGCATCTGAAGCAGGCTCGACGAGGGGCACCCCGAGCCCTAGTACGATCCAGCTCCATAGGGACGGGAGCCGGAGGTACCGGGACGGGGGCGCGGGCCGCGGGTGGCACAGGCGGGGCCACCGGGCGGATGGGGAACGGAGTTGCCGAACGAGTGATGGGGAAGGCGCCGCGCGGAGCTCCCGAAGCGGTCCGCGGGGTAGCCGTTCCCTTAATGAGCTTTGCTCGCACCAGGGCTTCATATTGTCGGAAGGCCCGAGTGCGCCAGCCCAGATAGTCACGGAGGTCTGGGGGGTCGTTCGAAGAGGTGATGCCGTTGTTGATCAAGGGGTCAAGTCCGTGGCGGTACTTGGTTACCTTAACCAACGCGTCTTGAAGCCAGCGAGGTCCATCAAGTCCTCGAAGTCGTCGGTATATCCGTAGACATCCCGCGTTCCCATGTGATAACCCGCTTTCCAACTTAGCGAGCGCGAGGTCCTGTTCATTCTCCTCGACGAACCGAAGGCGAAACTCGGAGAGGAACTGGCTCCACCGAGGGAAGGGGAAGGGGTTTTTGCTCCCATGATGCTCTGCCCATTGCTGAGCGGGTCCCTCCGCCATATAGGACATGGCGTAGCGGACGGCCCCTTTTCTTCGCTCGGCTCTCCGTTAACTACGAAGGCCTCCGGGGCAAGCCGAGCGTAGGTTTTGACCAGCGTATAGGGAAGGCGCGGCCGCGTTTGCGATCTCCGTTAAACGCAAACGGGGGGTTTGGTCGTAAGACCAGTTTTGAGGCGACAGTAATGTCACCAAATAACACATCCCGTCGGGGGCATTCGGAGATGCCAAGGCGGTTCGGGAGCTGCCGGAGGTGGTGCGGCAGCGGAAGCCTGGGAAGCAAGGTGGGTGAGGATATTGGTGAGGTTGTCTAGTTTCGCCTCAAGTGCGTCCATGCGCGTCAGCGTCCGGAGCAGCTCCGGTAGACATAGCGGGCGTAAAGACGACAAGAGCAGAGGAGGAGGGGTCAAGTGGCAGGGGCGGTGACGAGGGGGGTACGGACTCGTACTCCGAGCCTGAGTCAGCACCAAACCTGGCAATCTTGACCGGTTAATCCCGTAGAGAGTTTCTTCTGCTGTAAGGGCAACCCTGGAGACTCCGACGAAAGCCTAGCAGGGGAGGATCCAAAGCGTGAATAAGACTACAGGAAATACACGGAGGGACCGACCTAGCAGGGGAGGATCCAAAGAGAAGAAACTCTAAGGGTCCGCCTGCTAGGGTGCCAACTATATACTGGTCGTCCGTAACTGCCGGCGACGAGCGCAGAAGGCCTGGGCGGCGTCGCAGGCTCTGTCCCAAGGTGATCGTTGGGAGGGTCTTGACGGATCGGTGATTGTGCGGGCGAAGGAGGCCGTGGACGATGGTCTGGGTGGGTCGGAGCGTCCGAGGGGGCGCCGGTCGGATGCGCCTCGGATGCGTTCGGAGGGTCCGAAGGAGGCCGAAGCGGGGGTTCCCCTGACACTCCTCCAATATCTGGACGGGCATATGGGGCGAGAGGCATGCTTGGTAGGGCAGCTGTAACCCAGATATCATCCGGTGGCAGTGTTGTTGATAAGGGGGTTAATAAGGGTACCCTCACAAGCTAAGGCGTTAATAACAGAATGGGGGTTAATAAGGGGAATAAGGGTATTTCCTTTTTGAGAAGTAGCTGATATGAGTGTTTTAAGTGCTATATAACAGTATTAAACCAATGCTAGGGCTATATAATCCTCTTATCATAAGACCTATAAGCATTGGTGAGTATTTCCTCTATGATTGTACATCTATCTCAGGCTGGAAGTTAATTATAACTGCTATTACTGGGACAAGGGCAATTGTCAGTTCTCTAATGGGACCAAAAATATCAATAAGATAATTATAGTAGAAATTTAATAAATTTTTTAATCCAAGGCAGCTATCTTTAGAGATAATCAATAATTTTGATGGCATCATTAAGGTTATTAAGGGTCTTATCATGATTCCCCTTCATGATAAGGGCTTATCATTATCATATCACAAAGGGTTAATATAACCCTTAACACTTATCAACAACACTGTCCGGTGGTGCCGCTGTTGCTGCCATTGCTGCACGCAAGGCATTACTTCCATCGAGGCGTAGTGTCTGCCCAAGAAGTAAATGCCGCAAGAGCTTCCGTCGGCTAGGGGCCATGCGCAGAAGGGTATTAACAAAAGCTCACCAACCATTCGACGGCCAACACTCAGTCACGTTAATACTCATATTTTAGATAAAAAATTTGAACTCTCTCTCAAATTTTTAGATCAATTGCTCCCAAATATTTTGAAAAAACAAGTGCTGATAATCTCTATTCGAGCTTGATTTAGTGGGCCTCGGCCCGGCCAGCCGGGCGTAAGCCTGGGCGCATAAGCACATGTGTGTGATGAGATCTGATCGGCGCGGGATACTCGTCCATGTGCATCGCTGATTACGGGAGGGTGTCACCAAATCTTTCTGGCTGCTGTTGCATGCATCGGCTGGGTGGTCCCGGCGCCGAGACTGGAACAGACAGTAGGCCAAGAAGCGATCGACGCTGACACACGCGTTAGGTGGTGTTTTAGGAAGCGTTTCGACACGTTGATTGTGCGGTGGCGATCGGCGCGCGCTGGCGCTCCCGGTCAACGGTACACAGGGGACCAGATAAAACGCAGGTCATATGTGAGGGGCGCCATTCTTCCTTCCCCTTCGCCCCGGCTTGCCGACTTTTTTCGCCTTCTTCCGCGCCTGCGCTTTTCTGCTTACTTCTGCTTCCGTTTTTGAGAAAGCCAAACACGACGATGAAAGGATTCTTGACGACCTTTTCCGCATTCCTGGCAGCGACCACGCTGCACTTGGCTGCCGCGGCCCCGCTTGCGGCGCGCGCGGGCGTCAGCGACGTCGCGAACGACATGGAGAACCTGATCAACGGCCAGGGCGACTGTGCAGATGTCGGCGTGATCTTCGCGCGCGGGACCTTCGACTCCGGGTGCGCTGCCCTTTTTTTTCCTTTCTTCCACGTGCTCACATTCGTTTCCAGAAACATCGGCGTGTGGGTCGGCCCGCAGTTCCAGGCTGCGCTCAAGAAGGCGCTCCCGGGGAAGACGGTCGCGTTCCAGGGCGTGAGCGCGATTGACTACAAGGCGACACTGCTCGGTTACCTCGGCGAAGGCGGCTCGCCCGCCGGGGCCAAGTCGCTGGCGGAGCTGCTAGACTTCTACTCCGATGCGTGCCCGACAACTAAACTGATCGTCTCCGGGTGGTCACAAGGCGCGCTTGTTGCGCACAAGGGTCTCGGCGCACTCGCCAAGACCACGGTACCCAAGGTGAAGGCACTCGTGACCTTCGGAGACCCCGCGCAGCTCTTCAAAGAGCAGATGCCGACAGTCCCCGCCACGGTCAAGACGAATGTGCAGTGCTTCGTCGGCAGCGTGCCTGATCCGCTCTGCGCGCCGTCTGGCAGCTTCGTCCTGCCCAAGACCGCCGCTGACGTCACCAAACCCTTCTCCAAGCTGCCCCCGCTTGCCGTCGGTGCCCAGGAGGCCGCAGCAGCTGCCAAGCTCGTTGCGTCTTTCCCCGGCCAGCTTGCCACCGCCAACGCCGCGTTCGTCCAGACTCTCAAGACGAACCCCAAGCGCCTCCTCCTCTCCCCGCAGCACTTCATGTACGGCAACAACGGCCTCACCGACGCCGCCGCCAAGTTCGTCGCCACCGTCGTGTAATAAAAAATGTATTCTTTCGTGTAGTAGTTAGTGTAGGCACGCCCGCCTAGCGCGGATTTTACCCTTTGGAATCATACCTTTTTTGCCATCAACCACTTCCAGCGGGAGGAGGACATTTTTGCCAGTGTTGGTGTGTTCACCTGCGAGACATGCAGCTGAGGGTGTACACAGGGACGTGTGTGCCCTTGCCGTTGGTGCACCCCGGCGACATCGTCCTTTGCAGGAATACCGTTCTGGTGGACGAACCTGGATGATGGTATTAGTCCAGGGCTTTCCATCGATTTCTTTTCGTGTCCAGCCAGATGGATTCCTGAGATGAGCTCTGATGGACGCAACGGTAACAAAGTCTTGGGGAACACAAATAGCACCCTCCCTCGTCCTTTGTCGTCCCCGCGATTATCTCGGCGAGCCAGTCGTTGATGCCGCCCCAAATGCCATCGAACGCCGAATGCGGGGAGACGAGTCAACGACCGACACGCCGTTGGCAGCGCAGCGGAGGAGGCTGGCCTGGAGCGGTGTGAAAAGGGTGAGGCTTTTGAGGCCCGAGAAGATTGGGGGTGTGGTATGAAACCACAACGCCTGCGCCCAGCGCGATATCTTCGTCGCAGACGGCGGGTGTCAGACTATAGATTGGGTGAGCTGAGGATGTGGCAGAAAGATGGTGACGCGCTCGATTGGGGACGCGGGAAGAAGGCGGAGCTGGCAATTCTGGGCATTTTGAGCCACGATAACAGCATCCACTTGAAACAAACCAAGAAGCAGGCCCACCTGCGACACCAGAGTCAGTGTAAACCCTCGATATATTCACTGCACACGCACGTTGTCCCAGGAGCCGGCGAGGAACGTCGGTGCAATCCGCTGCATCGCATTGGAGACAGCTTTTGTGAGCAAGCTTGACTGGACAGCCATCGTGTCGCGTCGCGTTTTTCGTGCTGGCCGTCAAGAAGAGAAAGTGGTTGATTGGCGGTCATGTGGCCACGTCACCGATAATGATCAAGGGTCTGGATCTGACACGGACCTCTTATTCCGTTTGTTACTCCAATGTTACTCAGAGCTTGCTCAGAGTTATTTCCAACGTCCGCAACTTGAACAGCCCGTTGGAGACGTCAAATCCACCTGGAAAGGAAAGGAAGGGCTCGAGTAATCAGGTTGTTGATAGATTGATTGCCGTGATCACGCGTGGCTTGAAAAACAGCGCGCATCGGATCAGCGCCGATTGCATCAGCCCCACAACTTGGTCCCGACACTCATGTCGCCTTTCGCTCCTTCACCGTTCCAGTCAATACTGGCGACAAATGCTGTACCAACTGCATCTCACCGTCAAGACATCCGAGTCTTTCTCACTACCCCACTCGCTGAGCTGGCGGGCCTAGAAGAGGAAGTCGCGCGGCTGCAGGTGCTGGTTGAGGAGAGCGAAATCAGGTTAAAGGCGCAAAAAGAGGTGGCGGCAGGGTACGAGGCGCTTATTTCTCCCCTCCGCGGACTTCCCGACGACCTTGTGCGGGCGATCTTCCTCGAAACACTGCCAGTGTCGCGCGCGGCCGCGTTTGTGGCAGATGAAGGCCCCATGCTACTGTGTCGGGTGTGTCGCGCGTGGAAGGAGCTGGCGTTGACAACCCCGCGGCTTTGGGCGTCAATGTCATGGGCGAATCTTCACCACCTCAAGCTATATACTTACGAGACTAACTTTGGCGCGCAGGTCCTGCCTTCCATTCTTCATGCGCGTCAGCTGCGGACGCTTGACATAAGTATTCGGTTACGTTCCCACATCTCGAAGAGCTTCGGATCGTCACCTATGACCCAGAGTCAACAAAGCATTTTCTCCATGCCCTACACGCACCGCAACTCACCCGGCTCATGCACTACGTCTTTCGAGCGCCAGCGGACATGGCAGAACCGCTCCGCCTCGCAAAGGAAAGCATCCGCGGCCTGTCCGAATTCGAGGTCGTTTTCCGAGCGTGTAGCCTGGAGCACCTCCGAGCACTGCTCCACGCACTGCCGACACTTGAGAGTCTCACGGTGGTGGGCGAGCCACATGGCCTTGCAGCCCACTCGGATGAGCACGATGTGGAGTTTTTAGAGCTTTTTGTGCCGCCGCTGGGCGCCCGTCGTCCCTTTTTTGCGCGTGCTAAAGCTGTCGCAGGTCACTTGGACGGCGAATGCGACAATTTTGGGTGTACTGCGCGGGCGGGTGGGCCAGTCTGCTATTGACAACGGGTTAGAGGCGCTGCGCATGGTGGAGATTGAATTTGGGCGGGAGAGGGGAAAGAACGAAGAGCTGGCCAGTGAGGGGGGAGTGAAAGAGGCGGTTAACGCGGGGACCTTGGAGCACGTGGTGAAGTATCGACCACAGATGGGATGGACGTATTCGTTGCTTAAAGGGACAGAGAGAGATGAGGTGGAGACCTACTATGATGAGTATTAGTCATCGATCTGACGCAAGTGACATCGATCTCCCTTCTTTCATCTTGACCGCCATGTCGTTGCCACCAGAGCTGTTGGAGAACATCGTCCTCCACCTGGCGGGGGCCAACAACGCGCTGTGCGCCTGTCTCGCTTCCGCCAGGGTCTTCCGCCTCGCCTGCGAAGCGCAGCTCTTCCACACCGTCGTCCTCCAGAAACGCTCCCCCAGCCGCGAAGACACGCAGTCGTTCATCCGAGGCTGTGTCCTGTTTGCCTCGACGCCGTATCTCGTTCGATTCGTCAAGGAGCTGCGGATACAGCTCACCGCGGAAGCGTCCGAGGCCCGTCTGCTCGAGACAGTCCTGCAGCGCATGGCCGTCCATGTCGTTCGGCTCACGATCCTGTCGCCACTGGTGCACATCAACGCCGCTCCCCCTCAGTTCCATATGAGTGTCCCCACTGGCCTGGCCTCGGCGATTCTGCATGCTATGACCCGTCCGCAATTGCAGCGCATCGATATCGACCTACTTGCTGGGATGGAAGCCAGCTTCAAGTTTCTCTCAGCTACGGTGAAGCAGAACAAGCTTCATCTATTGGACTGGAACATCGTCCACGTGTCGGTGGTGATCAACATGACCGCCGCGTCAAGTTTCTACGCTTCCGCGGGTGGCCTCCACACTCTCGCGCCGCTGTTCAGTGTTGTACGCCATCTCTGGCTCACTCGGAGTGCGTTCGTCCTTCTATTTTCCCTCGTGCTCTGACCGCGGTGGGCCAGTGCTTACCAGCTATTTTCCCGAGCTGCCGCCACTCCCAAGCCTTCGCACCTTCCATCTGCACGCCCTCGAGCCATACAGCTCCTACTCGGCCGACAACGGCACCATTTCCATCAACCCCTCGTATTCGCACTTTCTGCCCGAAATCGCCGGCCGTGCGCCGCTCCTGAACACCATCCGACTGTCTTTCAATTGGCGCATGCATTGGAACCCGACTGCCGGCCCACCGCGCGCGCTGGCCAGCGTCGCGGAGCCCTGGCCGATGATGGGGGCCAGTGTTTTCGAGGCCGTGTTTCCCAATGTGAAGCGGGTTGAATGCTCATATTCGCTCAACTGGGTGCGTGGCGCGGGTACTGGGTCTCTATTGCAGGAACGGGAAGCCGTGCAGTCGTGGTTGAGGCCCTGGACGGCAGAGAGGATGCCTGGTCCTGCAAATGCTGGGATTTTGTCCATTGTTTTCAATGAGATTTAGAAACTATGTCATGATATGAATTTTGGACATTGGATTGATGGCCTCACTGTGTGGGAAGGAATGTCTTGGCAGACAATCCCTCTAATGAAAACACTTATATTATGACTAGCAACAATCCTATTATAAGACACTTTAATACTCAAAAATAGCCAGAAAAGTGCGGACTTTTGCATTGAGCGGCTTAGTTAGCCATTAGTCAGCTGTCTGGATTTGGAGGTATGATCAGCCCGGCGGCACCATAGTGCGGATTTTACCCTTTGGAATCATACCTTTCTTGAAATCAACCACTTCCAGCGAGTGTTATGCGAGGGATTAATGACAACATGGGCATCTTAGCAACTGAGGTTATTGGGGCCGGGAGACAGAGGATGACTCGCCTCGGCTACATGGTCCTGTTCTGGCGGACGAACCTGGATGCGAACCTTGCCAGCAATGATATCAGTCCAGCGTTTTACCAGCATCGCGATTTTTTTCCGTGACCAGCGAGATGGTTTGCTGGGATGAACTCTGAGCATTCTGCGCGGCATAACACCACATTAGACTTGCAACGGGTGCTTATCGGAGGCGCTGACGATCGACCGAGCCAAGCCCTGTAGTTCTACTTTGAGCTTGTCCTTGAGGATCGGGAGGTACCCGCGCTAGTGTGTCCACCTGGGAGGCACGTCAACTACTAGTGCAACTGAGGCTATCGGGGACGGGCGTACAGGGCATGACGTGAGTGCCTTGGCCGATACCAGCGAGAACTACATGCTATAAGCCGATTCAAGTCTGAAATGATGGAGCAGAAATCGAGCAACCAACATGCTGCATCTCCCAAGTGAAGGATACATCGACCGGCTCCTTTGCTTCCGCAAACATGGAGGCGCCAGAGCCAGCGCAGGAACTTGGACTGCGTTGTATAGTTAACAACGACAGGATGCGAAACGGAGAAGCGACTGAGGACAGGCCCAGAACGGCCTTCACCCGGCTTACCGACTCGTCAAGCTCCGTCGGCTGAGTGAGCTCTACCCGCCGTCCATCGTCCGCCTTGTCCTTTGTCGTCTCGGGAAGCAATACACGGTGTTCGGACGCGCGGCCCGCGATTAACTCGGCGAGCCAGTCGTTGATGCCGCCCCAGGTTCCATCGAGCGCTGAGTGCTGGGAGTATGCGGACACGCCGTCGGCAGCGCGGAGGAAGAGGAGGCTGGCTGGCGAGCGTAAGGCTTTTGACCAGAGAAGATACAAAAGTGGCGCGCAGGATTCTCGACAGTTTGTGCTTGGCCACGCGTTCTGGGAAGAGTAAGACGTGCAAGGAACGTGAAATTAGAGCGCACCTGCAACGTACAAGTGATAGACGTCAGTGTAAATGCGCTATGAACCCAATGCGTGCACGTAGGAGCCCGCGAGGGACGTCAGGACACTCCGTTGCGTCGCACTAGCCTTTGTGAGTGAACTTCACTGGACTGCCATCGTTTCTCGTCGTTGTTCGTGGTGGTCGTCCGGAAGAGAAAGTGGTTGATTGACGGTCATGTGGCCACGGCGGCCACGTCACCGATCAGATCATGATTAATGATCGAATCGATCTTACACAATGACATCAATCTTACTCTCCTCTGCCGCTCATGTCGCTGCCCCAGGAGCTGTTGGAGACCATCGTCCTCCACCTGGCGGGGGACAACAAAGCGCTGTGTGCCTGTCTCGGTTCCGCCAAGGCCTTCCGACTCGCCTGCGAAGCGCAGCTCTTCCACACCGTCGTCCTCCAAAAACGCTCCCCCAGCCGCGAAGACACGCAGTCGTTCATCCGAGGCTGTGTCCTGTTTGCCTCGACGCCGTATCTCGTTCGATTCGTCAAGGAACTGCGGATACAGCTCACCGCGGAAGCGTCCGAGGCCCGTCTGCTCGAGACGGTCCTGCAGCGCATGGCCGTCCACGTGGTTCGGCTTGCGATCCTGTCGCCTCTCGTGCACATAAAGCTTCCCCCTCAGTTCCATATGAGTGTCCCCACCGGCCTGGCCTCCGCGATTCTGCATGCTATGACCCGTCCGCAATTGCAGCGCATCGATATAGACCTACTTGCTGGGATGGAAGCTGGCTTCAAGTTCATCTCAGCTGCGGTGAAGCGGAACAAACTTCATCTATTGGACTGGAACATCGTCCACGTGTCGGTAATAATCAACATGACCGCGGCGTCAAGCTTCTACGCCTCCGCGGGTGGCCTCCACACTCTCGCGCCGCTGTTCGGTGTTGTACGCCATCTCTGGCTCACTTGGTGGTGGAGTGCGTCCGTCCGTTCGTTTTTCATTCTTGTTCTGACCGCCGGTTCCAGTGCTCACTGACTACTGTCCCGACCTGCCGCCACTCCCGAGCCTTCGGACCTTCCATCTCCATGCCCTCGAGCCATACAGGTACTATTCCGCCGACAATGGCACCATTTCCGTAAACCCCTCGTATTCACACTTTTTGCCCGAAATCGCCGGCCGTGCGCCGCTCCTGAACACCATCCGACTGTCCTTCAACTGGCGCATGCCTTGGAACCCGACTGCCGGCCCACCGCGCGCGTTGGCTAGCGTCGCGGAGCCCTGGCCGATGACGGGGGCCAGTGTTTTCGAGGCCGTGTTTCCCAATGTGAGGCGGGTTGAGTGCTCATATTCGCTCAACTGGGTGCGTGGGGAGGGTAGCGTGTCTCTCGTGCAGGAACGCGAAGCCGTGCAGTCGTGGTTGAGGCCCTGGACCGCAGAGAGGATGCCTGGTCCTGCAAATGCTGGGATTTTGTCCATTGTTTTCAATGAGATTTAGAAAGTTTATCATGATTCACCATATTATGTTAGCAGTGTAATTACTATGATATGATTCTTTATTTATTTATTTCCCGCCTTTATGTTGCCTTAATTTTGATGAGGATTGTGGTCCTTGATATATATTATTGAATGTGGAAGGATTTTTGATGGCCATCAGTAGTTTTGATCACTGTGTCAAGTTACCTCATTTTGGTCCCAATTGGGATAATCCTGAACACAGGCCTTCCCCACCATATACCGGTCATCGGCATGAAGAAAAGAAGTTAGGATTACTATATACAGTATTTGTAGCATCATATCTATCAATTTGATGTATTAACAACCCATTTCTAAAGTCTTTCTTGGCTGGGAAGTGGGCGGCTCGCAGCCTGTATTTTGCCGTGTACTTTTAGTAATGCACAGCAGGTGGCAGTTTTTGCACAGCATGGTGCAGCTACATGTTACCTGGCACAGCTCCCACCCAGACCAGGAGGGCGGTGATAAACACAGCCACATCAGGAAATTCGCAAATCCTTTTCAAGCCTTCCAAAAGGCCTTTCATTTCTGCAGGAACTTCCAGTGGCCTTTTAGGTCTTTTAGTTTTGCTTCCGGTCCTTCTGGAAAACCTTTTGATGGCCAATCTGTCAAGATGATCAATTTACCGGGTATTATCCCGCATTTTGACAGTTATTCAGCGTCGACAGGCCATTTTTCCCCCACTCTTTTCTTCTTCCCCCACCATCTCCCTGCCCTGTCAAGAATACTCCTCCCCCGCGAACCTTGTCCCGCGTCCCTCAAGCACGGCTGAACCTCAAGTGACTCAACCCTCCATAGCAAACCTTTCAAAATCTGAAGTATATTCAAGTTTGCAAGCACTGCGTGCCTTTCAAGCTCAAGTCATTCCATCCCCACCAGTACTCCATCAAGCGCAAAAACCATCCAGGCAACGGCAGCAAGGGCTAGTCCTTCCCACCTCATAGTGCTCCAAACCAACCCCCGCGATGTCATCGTTCTACCACGCCAGCGCCAGCGCCAACGTGGGCACCAGCACCAGCACCAGTCCCATCCCATCCCATTCCTCTCGCTCTTCACCATGCGCTTATTCATCGACCTCTGGGCTAATGTCAGTGGTAAAAGGTCTGCATATGCCAGAGGTGAGTTGGCCCGAGCTATCTGGCCCGCTTTTTCGCTGACGTGGCAGTGCCATCCAGCAGGCGAGGCGGCTGTGCGTCGAGCAGTACGGCTCCAAATCACGCAGCACAGCATCATGCGCGTAGAGAATGCTCGGGTGTGTCAACCTCACTTCTCTTTCTCATCATTTTACGGACCTTCCCCCCCAGGCTGTTTAGGCCTGCCCTCCCAGGAACCTATTTATCCAATTTTGCTCGGGCGCGGCCAAGAGTGGCTCCACAGACGTCGACGTGGCACAACGATGGGGCCAGTGGAGGATGTCAATAACAGACGGGGCTATGTGGCAGGGGTCTCAATGCAAATAAACATGTCAACTGAATGCTGGTTGTAAGGGCGTACAGTCTATAGATATTATTTTATGAGTTGCTGCGTGCCACTGCTCGCGCACCATCGACTGCACCGCTATCAAAGAGAGAGACTATGGTGGGGCAGGCATCTTATCAACAGCACTATTGCACCTGCTAAGCCCAATTATCTACTCTAATTAGAATGAAGAGCCCACTGGGGACTTCATTCTAATTAGAAGGGAACATATGAAAATGCCTATGCTGTAGTAAAGCTCACAATAAATCTTCTATAACTGCAATAACTTTACAGCATAAGATGATACTGACCCTAAGTGTCTATGCTGCAAATGTCATGCCTATGCTGCAAATATAAATATTTACTACAAGACAAGAAGCCTTAAGCTGCAACTAGAGTACTTATGCTTCAAGAAAACTGCAATAATTTCTAAGTCAGCAGCTGCTACATATGCTGCAGTAAATTCCAGACATTTACCCTAGTAGGTAAGTTCAGTTCTAACCAATCATAGACTACCTGAAAAGGAAATTCCTAATCGTCAGTAAAATTCCAGCAGCAGGCCAATACCTACCAGCTCCATACAGTCTGCTATATAATGTGATATAAATGTTACCAGTGTGACATGGTTCCAAAAAAGGAAATTTTCACAGTTCAACAGCAGGGTTACCAGAGACTGTCACTGATTGTCACAAAATCAAAGTTGTGCATTTGAACTATACAAAGAACTTTTGTTAAGTGACCTATAGTCATAACTGAATAATTGTGTCAGTAATGGCTAATTATTTGCTGATCTCCACCTGATATAGTGATATTTCACTAAATAGACAACTTACAGAGATGATTCAAGCACTATAAAGTGTACCTGCAAGATAAGATTAATATTCTTGACAATACAGTGTTATCAATACATATAGATTATCTCATCATTATATATCACACACCTTGATGCAGCAATATCTTCACTGATTCTGCATAAAGTCAGATGATTGTTATACTGGTAGGTAAGTAATAACCTAGTGTAGACATGTTCTGTAGTTTTCCTCCATTAAATGTGATCAAGCTCACTCAAAAGTGAGGGGTATCCAATGGATTGAGCGCAGGAAGCATACAGAAGGTCTCCCTAAGAGATGGAATACCTTTTATCTTGTTTTATCCATGAAATCTCTGGTAAATGTCTATTATACACATAGCTGCTAGTATACATCATATTGGCAATATAGCCATGATCTGTTAGTTGATTATGGATCAAAATATGTCATTCAGTTAATGAGGTATATACATATACCCGCATACTCTGATTCATGAGTGTATGCTCTTGGATGGTGAATTGCGGCAGACATTCAACTACTGGGAAAGTGTGAAGACTGGTTTACAGGAATTGTGAGGTCTATAAACTAAGTGTTGGACCTTGAGGTGGGTGTATGAAGATATTTGAATGTCTACTAGGACCCTATACCAGAATCAGTTGTGGTTCTGGAGTGTGCTACTAAAGGTAGCTGAAGAGAGGGTAGGTACCCATAGAGTAAAAAAGAGTGTCTTTGCTATTACAACTGGTTAGAAATTAATTTCAAGTATGATAAAAGACTTGAACTTAAGATTGTATAGAACCTTAAATAAACCTGCCCAGCACTTGAATCAACCTCATAGCTATTCTGGATCTTGTACAGGACCATTATCAATATTATCTATTCCAATAATGATGAGTTCACCATGGTATAACCTTGGTGAATCTAGGGAATCTGAGTATATATAATAGTAGGGGTATAGTATACCTTCCAGAAACTGGTGCCCCTGCCCCTCTAGCATATCTCTATACGAGGTTAGATAGCACCTAGGGTCTCTAGGAATTCAGTGACCTCAACACTTTCTGTGGGGTCACTAGTCGGTAGGATTATAGTGGAATATCCTCTGTAACTGCTCGGATTATGGGATTCCATAGATGAGGGCCCAAGATATCAGCAAAATGCTCCTCAACTCAGTATTCAGTCATACTTGGCAGTTAATAGATTAAGGTGATGGTGACAGATGGTATGACTGGATGGGCTAGGATATGGTGATATAATACACCTTTTAAATAAGCTCTCTCCCAGCTTTATCCTTGCAGGCTAGCTGAAGATTCATGCTTATCTTTCACGGTTGATAGAGGTCAAATACCACTGATGAGCAAATGCATTGTATTCTCAGTGCCATATTCACTGTGGATTAGGAAGTCACACACTAGAGCCTCAGTCTATAGTATCTACATCTACAATCCAGCCA